AGACCGTATCCCAATGTAAAGCAGTTGTAGTGAAACTATACAGAATCTAGACCATTTCGGTATAGTTTTACGTGACTAGCTTTACGAGATGTTTGCGGTACAGTTTCTATCTCGTATATAGTTTCACCAGACACTTTTCTGCATAGTTCAAAATTTCGATACATGTTGCGCGCAATTCATTATCATGGCATCCATTTAAAAATGGTCGTCTCAATTTGTCCGTCGCGTCGGTTTCCTGTCACGTCTATATAATCACGTTGTGAGTTTATTGTGTATAAGTAGTGTTATAATTGTTTATTATTTATTATTGTTATTGTCTATTAGTGTTTATGTAAATTCATTTTCATGAAATATGTGTAGAGTATATAAGGAATATTATATGCTCAAATATTGTAGTTGTGTGTATAGTGTAGTGGATAGCGTTAGTGTTTAGTATGCGTTAGGTCTAGGGTTCGCGTCTCCCCCATCGGTTAATAATTTATTTCGTAAATATGCGGTTATTCAATAAGTGGTGTGTATTAATTAACAAAATGTGTATAAAATATCTCAAGTGACATTGAATTTAATTAATTGAGTGATTCCAATTTTTTTTCCCATTTCCATTACTATGGATCACCCAACCATAGATCTTTTGCTGCTTCAACAATATACAGCCAGCCATAGAATATGGATGCAGCAACCTTAACTATGGATATCCCGTATTTTTCAATATAATATGGTTGTGATATCCACGTATCTGGATGTGTCAACTATTCCTTTTTCTCCGTGTAGTTTTGGCAAAACTGCACTTGCCAAAACTAGGTTTGGCTGTTTTTTCCGGCCATTGGCCGTTTTCGGCTTTTGAGCCTAACATATATTCGATAATTTTCGTCTTTTTTGCGCTTTAAACCTTAAGTACCCCGTCTTGCCCCACTCTCGCCTAGTAAAATTATTCGCACCACGTTTACGGCAGTCTTGCAGAAAGCTTGTCGTAAGCTTGCGGTAATCTTACGCGCAATGATGAAACAGATGTTCGTGAAATGAAAATGGTTCTCAAGCATTAATTTAAGTGAGGATTCACCTCACAATGTCTATAATTCTCTAAATTTAACTTATTTGTTGGTTTTAAAGTGTCTAAATTCAAGTATTTGGAAGAAATGATTTTCAACAGACTTTTTAAACTTAAAGGAACTTACCCGGTAAGAAGCAAGGAATAGAAAAAGATTAAATTTCCAGAAATATTCTGTTAAACGAGGATTTTTTAATCTTTCTGAATAGGCGAATTTCCAAAAAAAAACTCAATTCCTCTGTGAACAGCAAAATATCAGAAAAATTAATTCTTCTCCATTGCTCGTGTCAATGAGATGATAAAAAAAGTTAAGAGTTTCTATTTTTTTGAATGCGCAAAATTTTTCTGCTTCTCAACGTTCCAAAAAAAATACAGAATCCTATCCTTTTGAATCGACAAAGTAAATCTTGTAAAAGCGAATTGAAAAAAATAAGAAATAGCTATTCTTTTCAATCGACTTTAAGCGATTCTACGTAGTCAATTCAAATGAATAGAAATTGTTTATTATTCTTTTCAATTGACTGCTTCGAATTTTAGAAACGCAGTAAGAGGAATAGAACTTTTGACAAACAATTTGAAAAAGCCTAAAAATCTTTCCAATTATTTGTAGGAGCTCATCTAGTTATTGTCTTAAAATAAAATGCAGTGACAGCTATTTTTCGCGTCGTGTGAATTTCATTGTGATTTCAGTGCTAAATTATTAAAATGAAATATTAAAACTAGTGAAAATATGGTTAAAAACGCACAGTGCTTACGATAAAATAAAAAATTCTCTGTATTAAAATAAATGAAAGAAATTTTCAAGTGTTCAATGTTTAACGTCAAGTTTTCAAAACCTAACCTTTTTTTCAAGTGAAATATTGAGTGATAGTAAAGCAATTCAGTTTTTGGTGAAGTCAATTAAGAATAATAGATTTTGCTACTTTTCCTTGCTCCACCGAGGAATTGGATTATTTTGGAAATTCGCGCATTCAAAAGAAATGAACTTCTGAATTATTTTCAATTCCTCCCCTAGAAAACGGGGATCGCTGAATGATCACTGAACTTATTTTTGTTTTTTGGAAATTTGAAAAAAATTGCAATAATGTAACTTAAAATGATGTTTTAACTCCTGATATTTGCATAAATAACTATTCAGGGTGGCCGCAAGATTGACTTTATCAATTTCCCTGACATTTCCCTGACATTTTACTGATATAACAACGAATTTCCCTGACAAAAATTTTTTTGTTTAGAGCAAAAAATGTATTGCATGACCGTCTTAATTTCTTTAATTGCCCTGACAAAAAAATTTTTCCTGACATTTCCCTGACTTTACTGACAAAATATATTTTTCCCTGACATTTCCCTGACTTTACTGACATGTGGCCACCCTGCTATTGTTAATGTTTATTTATTAGTGAAAGTACCAAATTAAATGAATTAATGTTAAAAAACTAGAAAAATTGAAAAATAATAGTACGGTGATGATAGCATGGTGGGATACGAGCCCACGACCTTTCTATTGCCGGTAGACTGCTCTGACCACTGAGCTACATGCACCCCGAGATTCTTTGAAATTCTTTGACATATACTATCCCTTCCTACGTTATTTTAATGATAACGTAGAAAGTTTCTTAAAGATGGTAAAAAAACATGGTACATGTGGCCACCCTGCTATTGTTAATGTTTATTTATTAGTAAAAGTACCAAATTAAATGAATTAATGTTAAAAAACTAGAAAAATTGAAAAATAATAGTACGGTGATGATACGGTGATGTCCTGTTATTTACTAAAAAAAAGTACAAAATAATAAAGTTGATCACTGGAAAACATTAAAATTATAAGTGGATGTTTTATAATACCGTTTAAGAAAAGCCAAATGTCAATTTATATTATTTTTAAGAAGAAAGAAGCTATCAATTATCCGAATCAAATTTTTACTAAATAAATTAAATATCTTAAATAAATCTCTATAATCTCTTAGATTTCATATGTATCGACAGCTCAGCTGCCCGAATACAGAAACCTGCTTAATCTGAAAAATATTTTCGAAATTAATTAATAATTTCAAAATTATCAAAGAATCCAGAAAAAAACAATAGCATGGTGGGATACGAGCCCACGACCTTTCTATTGCCGGTAGACTGCTCTGACCACTGAGCTACACTGAAAAAAAAAGTTCATTGAATCAAGTAAATGCATTTTCTTGACCTGATTTATTTGAAACAAACCCATATTTTCTTATTGGAAGAAATTTATTTTCTTGTGTCAAGTAATTTTGAGCATTGATCAAAGTTATTGAAATAAGAAAATATGGGTTTGACATAAGTAAATATCTTACTGTTTTAAACGAACATGTTTTACATGCGCCAAGTCTCGAAAAAGTATTGAATCAAGAATATCATGTTCTCACGTCAAGTAATTTACCTTGAGTCATTTGGTATCTTGAGTCAAATAATTTTTTTATTTCCTTTAAAGCAACTATTTATTTCATCCAACACCCATAGTCTTGAGCCAAGAAAATGGGAAGATTAATACAAGTTAATAATTGTTTCAACTCAATTAAAAATTATTTTGTTTCAAAGAAATATTAATTAATCTAAGCATTTCTTTTACTTGAAGCATTTCTATATTCTCATGTTTCAAAATCATTAATTTCTTGCGAGAATGTTATATTTTCTGGAATGAAATATTTTATTTATTCAATTCAATTAAGTGTAAGATCTTGAATCAAATCATTCTTTTGTTTCCTTTAAAAAAGTTTTTACTTAATTCAACGCTCATATAATCCTGATTCAAGAAAATACGAAGGTTAATATAAGTAAATATTTGTTTCAAGTTGATTAAAAATTACATTCAATTAATCCCATATTTATTTGAAGAAAGAAATTCATTTTCTTGTGTCAAGTAATTATTAGCATTGAACAGAATTCTTGAATTAACAATTTAGTATTTGTCAGAACTCAATATGTAATTATTTCAACCAAATATTTTACTTTTCCGAAGTACCAAAAAGTATTGAATCTAGAATATCATGTTCTTAAGCGAAATAATAAAGTATTGTGTGGAGAATTCATGTTTCTTGAATCGAATCATTTTATTTATTTGCTTTGAAACTTTTTTTTATTTAACACAATGCCGGTGTTCTTGATCCAAGAAAATATTTTTCTTCAAATGTATATGCAACTTAAATATCAGTTTTTGAAAACTGTCCATTGAGGCTAGGATGGCATAGTGGTAGCGTGACGGCTTCTGGTGCGTGCAACCCGAGTTCAATTCCTCCGACCGTGGAAAATTTTCTTTCAAGGTATATATGTTGTATTTGTGTTAAGTAATAATTAAATGTAAATACAGTGGAACCTCGATTATCCGAACCTCTGTTATCCGAAACCTCTATTATCCGAACCGAAAATCATTTTATCCGAATTTCTATTATCCGAATTTTTTTTTGGCTATCCGAATTTTAAAATTTATTTTCTCTATTTATTTTATTATTTATATTTTCTTCGGACATTTTTTGCGTACATTTCATTGCATCTTACTGCACAGCGCCACCTATTCTTTTTTCTATGACTAACTCATACTTTCTGTTGGTATAAAAAGTTCACAAAAATACACAAACTTGATTGGTCGTCTCTTAATTCTCAATTTGTACAACCAATCAAAATTTGTATTCATTCATATTGTTAAATGTATGCCGTACTCTGTATGTTCGACTTCTATCTTTTTTGTCAGTTCATGTTAGTTCTTTTGTGGTTTTCCATAATGTATGTATACAAAAATATGTGAAAAAAATTAAATCAACATTTTTACTGAAAACATGAAAACTATTCATTCAAAATATATACATATGTTACAGAATTTTTTATACAGTTTCTGTAACATTTATGTAATATTAAATTAATAATTTTTATGTTTTTGGTAGAGTTGTTTATTTAATTACTATTTAATTTTTCAGTAATACGTGCAATGGATTCAAGTTCTAGTCCTTCTACCTCTAAGCGAAAACGTACTGTTCTTTCAGTGGAGAAAAAATTAGAAATTCTCTCCAAATTGGAAAAAGGCGAAACAGGTGTATGTTTAGCTAGATTTTATAATGTGGGTACAGCGACGATTACCGACATAAAGAAAAATCGAGAGTCACTTATGATATTTGCGTCACAGATGGATACAGAAGAAGGGCCTAAAAGACGAAAAACAATGAAAATGTCTCAAAATGAAACTCTTGATGATGCGCTTTCTAAGTGGTTTATTCAAAGACGAAGCCTCGGTCAACCAATTTCCGGACCACTTTTATGCGAGAAAGCTCTTGATTTTAATGAAAAACTTGGAGGATCATCAAATTTTAAAGCTAGTACCGGTTGGCTTGAAAAATTTAAAAATCGTCATGGAATTCGACAATTGCAAATCCAAGGAGAAGCTCTATCAGCAAATTCTGATGCTGCTGAGAAATTTAAACTGACAATTGGAAATTATATAGAAGAAGGAGGTTATTCTAGAGACGATATTTATAATGCCGATGAGAGTGGCCTTAACTGGAGATCATTGCCACGAAAATCACTCGCATCTCGTCAGGAAACGTCAGCCTGTGGTTTCAAAGTGTCAAAAGATCGAGTGACTATAATGACATGTGCTAATGCTTCCGGGACTCATAAATTGCCACTCCTAGTCATTGGCAAAGCTAAAAACCCTCGTTGTTTCAAAAATATAAAAAATTTACCAGTTTCTTACAAAAGTCAGAAAAGTGCTTGGATGGATTTAAAATTGTTCTGCGATTGGTTCAAAAATGATTTTATAAAAAGTGTAAAAAAATGGCGTAAAGATAAGGGTAAAGATGGTAAAGTGTTGCTATTGTTAGACAATGCACCATCTCATCCATCTGTTGACGTACTGAATTCCTTCGATCCAAACTTCGTCGTCATGTTTCTTCCACCGAATGTCACTGCACTTATTCAGCCGATGGATCAGGGGGTAATTGAAAAGTTAAAACGTTTATATCGCAAAAATATGCTTAAGAGTTTATTATTGTTAGATGATAACTCTGAAATCAACGTTGCTTCTTTCCCAAAAACATTAAATCTGAAACATTGTTGTTTCATGGTAGCGGATGCTTGGGAATTATTGACGGAGGAAAATTTAAAAAGAGCATGGAATAAACTATTATCTCTTGAAACAGATTCCGAAGAAACAATCGAGGCACAAAATATATCGGAGTTTAACGAGTTCTTTAGCAATATCCCAGGTTTCGCAGATTGTGATGCCGATGACGCTATTGATTGGATTAATAGCGATGCCAACGATCCTGGATACCAATTGCTGAATGACGAAGAAATAATATCTTCAGTAACGAATTTGACCGAAAATGATGATGAGAATGAAAGCGAAGATGAATGTTTAGATGAGACCAAAAAGGTTTCCAATTCTGAGGCATTTAATGCTTTTGAGATAGGACTTGAATGGTACGCGCAACAAGAAGAATGTTCCTGCACGCAATTGCTTCTGCTGAGAAGAATGCGTAATTTAGCAGCTAAGAAACGAATAGATGCTATCTTTCAAAGCAAAATAACGAAGTTTATGCCAAAAAAGTCTTAAAAAATCATATATTCTCTGTTTTATTAATATATTATTATAAATTAATATATATTTACATATATATACTTATATATAACTTTAAAAAAATGTATTAAATTAAATACATATAGTTCAACTGTCCAATTTTTTTACTTTAATTATGAAAAACATTAAAACCTCTATTATCCGAATTTTCGATTATCCGAATCAGGCCTTGCCTAGGTTAGTTCGGATAATCGAGGTTCCACTGTATATATGTAAAATAACAATTATTTAATTATTTAAATAAAAAATATAAATGTTAATTAATTAAATAATAAAAATATTTGACCTAAGTATTAGAAAAGATGGGATGGGGGTAAGGGGGGGGGGTAATTTAAGTAAATAATTTACTTGTATTGAGAAAGTATTTTTTTGATTGAAATCTATAAATTTTCTCAAATCAAGAAAATATTTTCTTGGACAGAGAACATACTTTCTTGATTTGATACATAAATGATTTTGAATTAATATATTCTGCATTTCTTACATGCTACTTAACTTCTTGGTCGAATTCCATATTTTCTTGGATCAAGAATATCTGTTCTTCTCACAAAATAAATGTTTTCTTCATTTAAATCTTGAATTACTTGAACGAACGTTACAAAAAATTGAATGAATCAAATAAAATAATTCAATTAACTATATATATATATTCTTAGAACAAGAAAATATTTTATTCATTTAATACATTTCATACTTCGTATAAGAAGACTAACTTCTTGGTCGAATTCCATATTTTCTTTTATCAAGAATATATGTTCTTCTCCCAAATATCCTATGTCAAGAAAATCGTTTTCTTGAATCAATACTTTAATAGTCTTGGCCGTATTCAATCCCACGATTTGCTTCAATCCCTTCCTACGTTACTTTAATGAAAACGTAGGAAGTTTCTTAAAGATGGTAAGCCTAGTATTTCAATTCATAGGCAATTATAATTATAGAAAGTGAATTTATCATTCGGCAGTTAAATATTAAGAAGAAAGTAGCTATCAATTATCCGAATCAAATTTTTACTAAATAAATTAAATATCTTAAATAAATCTCTATAAGCTCTTAGATTTCATATGTATCGACAGCACAGCTGCCCGAATACAGAAACCTGCCTAATCTGAAAAATATTTTTGAAATTAATTAATAATTTCAAAATTATTAAAGAATCCAAAAAAAACGGTAGCATGGTGGGATAGGAGCCCACGACCTTTCTATTGCCGGTAGACTGCTCTGACCACTGAGCTACATGCACCCCGAGATTCTCCGAATTCTTTGACATATACTATCCCTTCCTACGTTATTTTAATGATAACGTAGGAAGTTTCTTAAAGATGGTAAGCCTAGTATTTTAATTCATAGGCAATTATAATTATAGAAAGTGAATTTATCATTTGGCAGTTAAATATTAAGAAGAAAGAAGCTATCAATTATCCGAATCAAATTTTTACTAAATAAATTAAATATCTTAAATAAATCTCTATAAGCTCTTAGATTTCATATGTATCGACAGCACAGCTGCCCGAATACAGAAACCTGCTTAATCTGGAAAATATTTTCGAAATTAATTAATAATTTCAAAATTATCAAAGAACTCAGAAAAAAACGGTAGCATGGTGGGATACGAGCCCACGACCTTTCTATTGCCGGTAGATTTTCTATAATTATAATTGCCTATGAATTGAAATACTAGGCTTACCATCTTTAAGAAACTTCCTACGTTATCATTAAAATAACGTAGGAAGGGATACCCAGTAAAAAAAATTCGATACACGGACCCCGGAGTTCGTATACGAGCTCGGTAGCTCGTATGAGAAATATGAGAAAACTCTCATACGAGCCTTTTCCGTAATGAGAAGTGTATAGATGCTTGTATACAAGGTGAGTTTTAAAGCATTTTTATTAATGTAACACTATTTTAAAGTAAATGTAGATAATAGAAATGAATTTTCAAAGTAAAACAAAGCTAAATTTATAAGGGAAATGAAGTTTTAAGAAAAAAAGGATAATTTTGTTCAAAAAATTTATTCACACTGAAAAAAGGTTAGAATTTGATAATTCCTTGTTAATCTAACTTACCGACATTAGATATTTCTCGTATACGGTAAGCAGATTTTGTATTGGCGGTAGAATAAATAAGTTTTTTTCATTACTAATTAATAATATATTATTATTTATCTATATTAATAAAATCAGACTTTTGTCTGTACATTGCACGAAATTAATTTTTAATAGCATAATTTATTTATTTGAACAACGGAGAATCCAAAAATGGTAATAGAAAATTTCCTGTCTGTATGTATGTATGTATGTATGTCCGCAAAATTTTGTTCGCGTATAACTTCAAAACGTCTTGACCGATTGAAGTAAAATTTGGCAATCTTTTAGATATTGGTCTAACTTAAAATATTAGCTATATTTGATGAAAAAATATTGAGCTAAACAAAAGTTATGAATTTTTCAAAAAATTTTTTTTTTTAATTTTTGCAGATTGGCATACATTTTTAATTTATTAATAATTCAAATGATTATAAAGATATATAACAATAAATTGAATTAAAAAATAATATTAATATGAAAAAAAATTATAAATTTTCCAAAAAATTCGAAATTTTTTTTTTAAATTTTGACAGATTGCTGTAAATTAATCAGTTATAACTTTTATAAGATATATATAAACAATAAATTTACAGATTTTAAACATATTAATTAGAACGGGAGGTATTCAATTTTTTCAAAAAATTAAAAAAATTGAAAATTTCCAAATTTTATATTTTTTATTGTATATCTTTTAAACTTTCAGTAATTAAATATTACATGTTATTTTGTCATATTTTAGCATAATTTTGAAAAAAATACTGTCCTGTAACTATAAGATGGAAGTATAAGTATAAAAATGTTTTTAATATAAAAAAATTGAAAAATTATAATTGACAGACCAATTACTATCAAGCTTAATTCAGTAGTATTTTTGGGGTCTCTGATAAACTTTTGACTTCACAATAATGGAATTTAGAATTATTTGTTTATCCAATTAATCAACAATTTTCAATTGCAAAAATTTCGAAAATATTAAAAATGGAGATTTTTTATGATAAAATTGATATTGTGGAAATTCAAGAATACCTCTGTGATAAGATACTTGCATTATGCTACTGGGAAAAAACTTAAATAGTAAAAAGTTTTGTTATTTTAATTCTTGATTTAACTTTTAGGGATGTTTTGAGCATTATGTAAAGGCAAAAGTTAAACAAGGTGTCTATTATTATTTTTGTTTAACAAACTATCCGGTTTTTCCCAGCTTTGTCCAAATTTTTACAGGTGTATCTTTTCTCATCAAATATAAATTTTCTTGAGAAGAATTAACATTAAATAAATCTACAAGTGGCTACAAAAATTCACTTATTTTATGAAAATACTCTTCGACGGGTTTTTGTTTTTACTAATACTTTTAACAGGGGTTCTACCAACTGGAAAAAACGGGAAATATGCAGGAATTTAATTTAATCGGGAAATCGGGTGAATTCAGCCTGCAATATAGGTCTTATTTTAGATTTTAGCAATTATGATACAATTAATTGTGGATGGAAATTTTGTTTGGATATTTAAAAAGTAGTTATGTTGTAAATTTTGTTTACTATAAATCCATAATTTATTATACTCCCAGCTGATACAATTAGTTCGAATTTGACTTCATTGTAACTCCAAAAACTGGTGAAAATTTTGGATTAACTTATAATACAATAATTAAATTTCTACAAATAATTGACAAACATTGTTCTCTGCATTTTAATTCATTAAAAATAAATTATTTGATGATAAAAAGTCAATCACTGATTTAAAATAGTAATATTTATCTAATGAAATAGTTAATGGTAGCTAATTATTATTTATTCCGGTCAAATTAAATTCTCCGCTATTTCCCATTTTTCGAGACTGGTAGACACACGCTATTTAATGTATTAGAAGAAACTGAAACCCGTCGAAGACGGGTACGACAGCTAGTTTATTATATAAATGTTCTTATATAAAATAATTAAATTTAATACAAAATCTGCTTACCGTATACGAGAAATATCTAATGTCGGTAAGTTAGATTAACAAGGAATTATCAAATTCTAACCTTTTTTCAGTGTGAATAAATTTTTTGAACAAAATTATCCTTTTTTTCTTAAAACTTCATTTCCCTTATAAATTTAGCTTTGTTTTACTTTGAAAATTCATTTCTATTATCTACATTTACTTTACACGGAGAGAGATTTTGTATTAATATTTGTTAAAATTGGCAATAGAATTTAATATATTCTTTTTCAATTTAGAGAAATCGTGTTTTATATTAAAAATTAATATTGTGCATATTAGTAGGCAGCCCTTGATATATTTTACAAAAATTAATAAAATTGTAATACAATTTAATAAAAGAATTATAATTTTTAAAAATGACTATATTAAAATCGCAGTCCGTGTAAGTATCGAAAGAATAAGAAAAATTGAAATAGTTCTTTTAAATTTTAGAATAAAATACATATTTCAATCTTTAATATAGTCAATACTAAAAATTATGAGTGAGTCGAAAAGGACAGGAAATAAAAAGACGTAGGAAGGAGGAGGATAGAATTATCGTTTCGAAAGTATTTCGCACACACACCAATGAGCTAACGCAAGCATCATACTATACATCATACTATACAAACACAAACTATATATATACAATTTCGGAGATCTATGTTAAAACCTATATACGCATACATATAAACTTAACTTAAATACAAATAAACGCAATAACGCACGCACGCTGTACATTGGGAGATACAGTTCTCAACTTCCTTATATACTAAACTCGAGAAATTTTCTGAACTTGTGAGAAAGTGACATTTTCTCCATATTTTGTTTAAAAAAGTTCTTAATTTATTTTACATTATAAATACATACTTTTGTATGCTGGGTCAAAATTTTATTCAGAAATGTTTATCATAATACTGTTTTTAAAA